ATTATCCGAGGGGCACCGAATGAACTCCTTGAGTCTGTGTCCCTTATAGACTCAAAAGAGTAACGCCTTTTTATACTGGGCGACGCGTCTGCCAGTATCATTTCGTTATTCTGTGTACTCATGAATGAATAGGTACCGAACGACAAGTATCTTCGGGGACAGGCTGTCCACCAGCAGAGATACATGCTCAGTGGTTAAAATGAAATATATGGAGATAACGAACAGTATTCAAGCTCAAAAGTGCATTAAACAATACAAAATAGGAGCAAACACGGACCTCTAAACATCAGAGGTGGGATCAGGTGCCATGGAGGAGTGAGCATCCTCTGCCGACCGGTCACACCCGCTTTGTGCTCCTTGTCATGATCGGGAAATAACGGAAAAATCAGTCCACAAGACAATTCAGTGTGTAAATAAATTTAAAAAAAATAAATTATTCTTATATCATTTTATTTTATTTGAAAACTTGCAACAGCATTACATTGTCTAATGAAGAAACTCTTATCAATTAAAAATTTGTTCATTATACATGTGCATCTGATGCTATGGGGGTATGGTTCCTTTTGTGATGTTTAAAATGCTGATTTTTTAAAGATTATTGACAAGCTTTTATAAATGAATATGGACATCTTTCTAAAAATCCTAGTTTTTAAGAAGATTATATTTTGTGTTTTAAGAATATTTAAGGTTTTGACAATACTAATGTTTTCCCAGTAGACTATATAAATCAAATTATATTATGACAATTTTACAAAAGGTTGCATTAACAGAAGATTTTCTATGTTGTTTCTAATCCTTTTGACATTTTTTGTCAATAGAATATGTCCAATTCTTATCAGACATAAAAATATATCATAAAAAATGTGTGGAGAAATTACTTATATATGCATGTACATATTTAAAATAAAATTCTTTTTCTTTTAATTGTTTCAATCTCTTAACTGAATTAGTAAAGTAATAATCCAAATACTTTCAATTGTTGATTGTCAAAATTTTTTTTATCTCTATGTTGATTTATTGATTTAAATATTTATTCATTTATTTACTTATTCATTTGCAAAAATTATTTATAACATGTCTATTCTCTTTTAATCAAACTTGTGATCCAAAAATGTAAATTAATTAAAATTATTTTTTTCCTTTTTTTAAAAATGGTATTGATAAATAAGTATGTATTTTAAAATAATTAATATGTAGAACCTGATTAATTAATATCTAATAAACAAAATATTACTGATAGGTATTGTGATAATGAAATTGTATAACACAGGTTAAAATTACAGGTAATAAGCCTTAAAAAACAGACTATACACAGGTTACCACCCAGGTGTGAAAATCCAAATTTTGGCTAGATGGGAATAAGAAATTCAAAATTTTGACCTTTGGGGCCTTACTCCTACTTAAAACATGATTTCCTTTGTTCTGAAAATTAAATAAGAAATGTACAAAACTTGTATGAGATATGACAGGTAGCACACATACAATGACAAGTTTATTGTTTACGGAATGGACAGTCACAGGTAAGCTAGGGATGCAGAGCAATTTGTTGAATAGCCATTACTGTGTTTCCAGATGCAGATAACAAAAGGTCTTTGTCTTAAGAATCGAATGGACAGTTACAGATGGATTTTAGGGATATTAGTATTAGTATTTATACAAGTACGCGATGCTTCATAATCAGTTTCCAATTCGCATTGTAAAGGCATACATGTTTTCCTGTGATGGAGAGAGTATATGAAGATTCAAAATCTAATAAACCATAATATGCACAAAATTAGTGATATTTGTATCTGGAAACAGAAAAGTAAGGGTAAAAGAAATATTAGTCAAATTTCGACCCAACAATGAACTTCGACGACAGATACAGATGAACAAACTCGAATCAAACCTGGAAATGTTTTATTTGAATTCTGTTTTGAGGATACATAACTGCAGCAGTGTAATGGTGAGATGCAAATTGTGTTCGGAGTTTTGGATTAGCCATGAGCCAATCTTCAATCTGAAAATGTTTTTCAAATCAAATCTGGAAATGTTTAATTTTTATTTATTTTCTATGGAATTATTAATGCAGCAGTGTAGTGTTCATGGTGCGTACTGTTTTCTGGGTGGAGGATTTAATATTAGATGTACTTCTCTTTGAAAATGAATTCTCCTCGAGGGAATGATTTTTCCGAAATTTTAATCAAATGTGAAATTGTGTCATTTGAATTCAAGTTGTGTAAAAATTAAGTTTTGAGTATTGAAATTATGTGCATTATTCGTGGATTTAAAAGAGTAAATTCGAGTGGATGCTGTGCAGTCATTGTGTTCTGGACTAACTTTGATCTCCGCTTTCCTTTTGTTATTTACATGTATAAAATTAAAATTTATTTAATGTATTTGTTTTTGTTTCCCTCTTGAACACATTCCAAAGCTTACCTGTAACTTTCCATTCTCTTTGATTTAACTATCCATTCTTTTTTAAGAAAAAAACTGTCCATTCTTTAAAAAATGGACAGTTTTCCAAAAAGAATGGACACTTACAGGTAACGTAATGGATTGTTTGAGGCGTTAGCTCAACATTAAGCTATAGAATGGGCACCACAAACAAAAGGTTTACGTCACAATCATGTTTAAGCTTATTGAAATATGTTTTTCCACAAGGCTCACTCTTTTTCAATTTTTTTTCTATATTGAAATTGTATGTGGAAATTCTTCATAGCTATACATGTTTCAATATTAAATTTCAATTTAATATGACTCAATAGCCCCAAAAGATTTGGAATTTTACCTTGCACTAAACATGTAAAAATGAAAAAAAAAAATCTTTTGACAGGCTAGACACTGGTTACTTACATTATCAAAAAGCATAAAGGTGACGAAGTCAATTAGCTAAATTTCCGTTTTGAGTTTTTAACAATAGGAAGATTAGGTGAAGCCGAAACAAAATAAACAAGATTCTAAATCGTAAAAAAATAATTTAATACCTGTGTCAAGCCAATCTCGCAAAGAATTTGCCAACAAAGAGGCCGAAAGAAAAGAAGAGTTTTGCAGTTTAATTAGTAGATAAAATGATTATTTTTCTGTCGCCTTTCGGGAATCAATTTACTCATGACAAATTGCGAAACATTTTTAAAACTGCGTGAACAGTGTTTGTAAGAAAATTGGGCTGACAATGATTTACAGGAAAATATTTTTATGCGTTGAGTACTTGTGTACATACGTGTTTTATTAAATGGTTAATGGTTGAGGATAAGAAAATCACGTTCTTTTACAAAAAATTGTTCATTTGTATGCATAAATATTTCAAAATTCAGGCCCTAAAAGGATCACATTCATGTACATATTTTTTTCGATTTCAAACGTAATTTTGAGAGTTATACAAATAAATAATACTCAAAGCTTTATCGTTTACGTCTGATGGAGAGTGATTTAAAAACAAAACAACAGTTCAGTACACCCCCTCCTTCTCCCTTTCCGACGCAAAAGAACTACTAAATATAATTCTACTTTTTAAATAGTACGAGGGCTTGCGCCAGGTTTGATTGTTTCTGTATAACATTTACATGTACTTCGCCTTTCATAAAATTTCGGGTTATATGACTTTCATATTGATAAACGCAGGTCATGCAAAAGTGAAAAATTTGTTATGTATATGTCAATGACAAAATATTAAAACTATAATCCAAAAAAATTCAGAGTAGAATCGTGAGAAAGCAAAACCAACTCACAAGTATTGTCAATCTCTGCTCAGTGATGTGTGCAGAGTAAACAAATTAAACACACTCTGTAAAACCTAAATATTAACAATAACAATGACCATATTTACATAGATGTTTGAAGAATGTCCTTCTCATAAAAGTTTTTGAATTTTCTTTTAAGTTTATTTAATTAAAGTTACTTTTTAAAATAAAAGTAGAAATTTAAAATTGTAAAACAAAACGGCATTTCAACTGTGTTCAGGCCTCCTTAAATTAAATTAATAGTTCATAAGATTTTTGCAAGATAAAACAATACAATAAAATTTCGATTTTGAGAGAAGGACATTTATTCGAAAAATAGTTTACATCTTCCTAGACATATACGAGGGCCGTTCAAAAATTACGCGGACTCTGCTATTATTTACTCTTATAGACGTCATATAGAATTGAAATTCCACAGGAACATATTTCTTCAAAATTCCAATAAATTCTTGGTAAAATTTTTTGACTTTATTTAATATCTGATAAAATTATTGCCGTTTTGATACAGCTGATGGTGATATACGGAGCACGGCAAAAATGTTGAAAATCAAACATGCGGTATCCAAAATTTTTTGTTGTTTTATTATTAAGTATTTAGATTTCTGGCGTAATATTTGAATAGCTAACAGAAATATTAATTTTTCTCCGATGTGACCCCTACGAAATCAACTGCAAAAAATGACGTCTCGTGATTTGACGGAGCAGCGCACTTTTATCAAATCATGAATCATGCTGCGAAAACGCAAATAGAGACCCAAAATAATCCTAAAATAATCCTAATGAAACATGTAGTGAACCAGAAGAATATCCGACACATCTCTACAAAATGTAAAAAAGAATTTTAGACTGTTAGACCTCAGTCAAAAGGCAATCCGGGAGGGATGGAAGAAGTTCATCGACAAAACACTGATCTGGGCTGTTAAGAATGTGATTGAGATCGACTGACGTCAAACTTTACTTCAGAAATATCTGCAGTTTTGGGTTTAACACAAACTAAAACACACAATAATAAGGGAAAATATTCAGAAAATGAAAGCTCCCATTTTTTAAATGCCCGTGACGTTGAAAGTTTACTGCGCCGTGACTTCATGACATGTCCTGTTAATTCACTTGAAATTGATACCAATTTACAATATTTTGATATGAAATTTTGATGATCATATCTGAAAAGATTCTTTTATATTATTTATGACTTTTTGCTTGATTATGTCGTCAAATATATTTTCTGTGCAACAAGTCCGCGTAATTTTTGAACGGCCCTCGTATATACTTCGTTAGAATTGATTTTGAACACAAACATGTATATGTACATTCATATGATTATTTCATTCAATGACGGCTTATTCGAAATACAAACAAAATTTAAATGATTTTTATGAAACTTGGAAAAACCTACATGTGTACGAATGTGTAGCAAAAATGATTGCATAAACATCAATTAAAGCATTATAAACAAGTTCATGGAAATATTTCTTAAGAGAAAATGTTAGCATAATCAATATGCAGGATTTGTTAGATCGTTTCAACTGGAAAATAATGGTTTTTATTTCCAATATGTAAGCAAATAATCAGGGTTTATCGTGTGGAATCCCTCCATCTGATGTCGAGGGCATGGCATCTGGCTTCCACTTCCCACCTTGCTTTCCTCGACAAAATTGTGGGCAACTTCTTTGCCTAGAATTTGATTTTCTTCTTCATCACAAATAAATCCCACTTCGTATGCAAGACATTTGTGGAAAGATTTCGTTACACTCTGCAATATGGATTCAACTCTTTTTCGAATAGACAATGTCACTTCTGGGAGCATTGTCATTTGAGAGCCGGACTGAAATATTTGAAGCTGAATTGTAGATGTAGTTACTGCGATAGCAATATTATGATTTTTGTGATTGAACAGTGCAGCATCCTTGTACAAGCAGCTTATATTGTTACTTGTCAGTACTGTCCAATTTTCTATTTGCATCAACGCTACAACTAAACGATAAAAGAAGAAATACGGCAAAAAGTCGAACAAGTATACAAGGACGGAGGACTTTGAATTCGACCTCTTGATTATCTCTTTCTGTGTTTCTCCAAAGTCCTTCTTATTCATGGAAGGAATGTAGTGTGTCTTGCCTTCACTAGAAATCAAACCCAATCTCTGCATGTACAACAATAATTGTTCTTTGTGGAACAGTAGAAAACGAGGATCCTTATCAAATTTTGCATTCTTTGATGAAGTTTCAGTTCTCAAAAGTCTTTCATCTTCTAATTTCCAAATATCACTGAGAAGGGAATCATTTAAATTTCCTGTTTTGTAGAAATCCTCCCAATCTTGGTTACTAGCAACGATTCCCTTTACATGAATCCTGTCTGTCATAATGAATTTAAATGCATTAACAAACCACTGGACATCAATTATCACGAATTTCCTAAGATAGTCTTCATCAAAATGAAGAACTTTTCCAGCATCGTGATAATACCTTAACATATCACTTGCCAGTTCAAGCACTAGGTTTTCATCTCCATGATGCCTAAATCGATTTTTAATTTCGTCAAGATTCATCACCCGCCTATGCTTCTCTTTCTGAATTGTGTCAGAAAATATCCATTCACAGGGAATTTTTTCACTCCACTTTTCCTCTGCTGCTATTTGTACGATGCATTCTTCAAGGTCATTGATGGGGTCAGTCAATAAATCTGTGCAGAAGCATCTGTCTTCTCTGATGTACTGGACAAGCTTAAAATTAGCAGGCAATACGCTCTGCAGACTATCAAGAAAGTCAGCTTTACCCTGCAATAACAAATGTAGAAAAGATGTATATCTAATTTTTATTTTACCTCTACAAATTTTTCACTAGATAAGAGTAAATCCCACTTTTTTGCTGATTCCTTGAAAATCACCGTAAAAAGACTTTTCTCCTTAAAAAGGTGCCTCAGTTTGATGAACTGATACACATCAATTCGAAAAACATAGCAATTTATTTTTATCGTATGAAAAGTTCTGATATGTTCCAAATAATATTACATGTATGAGTATTCATAACACAGCTCGTTTAAAGTTACTCTTAAGGAGGCGATGCCCTATTGCTTGCAGATTTTTGTATTTCAAATTCAATGCCTTTCTATTAAATTTACACAATCATTTTATTAAATTCTTGGTAGGAGTAATTTCTATTCTGCACCTTATAATTGCAAAATGTAGGCTCTAAACTGGCTAGTATTTGTATTGGTATAATAAAACATTTAAGGAAATCATTAAGATTCCAGTCCCCTTCGAGCAACCCTAATTCCTTAGGTTTTGCCTTCAATGATATACAGTACCAACCATACCCAACCTGACACCTAAGCAGTCCCAGAAAGCAGTCCCTGGGACTGCTTTGGGACCGCTCTGGGACTGCTGTGGGACTGCTATGGGACCGCTGTGGGACTGCTCTGGGACCGCTATGGGACTGCTGTGGGACTGCTCTAGAAAGCAGACCCAGCAGTCCCAGCAGTCCCTGGGACTGCTTTCTGGGACTGCTTTGTTCACTCATGCGTGAAAAAGGTTCTGAGTGACATGATAGCTCCGCTCCTTGTGTATTCTGAATTTGCAGCTCCCTGTTGTTGTTTTGTTTACTTTCTGCAGAGAGGTGTTTAAGATTAAAAAAAAAGTATTTCTTACAAAATTAAATAAGTAGAGATAGTTATACATGTACAGTAATAACTAAATGTCTTCAGGGGCTGTTAATTTACACAATTGTAGTCTAGAATTAATTTTAAAAAATGAAAGTGGTTAAAAGGGGAAGTCAGGGGATGGTTTTTATCCCTTAAATTAAACTTCAATACAGGTGTTTGAAAAAAAAAAAATTTCTAGGCCTATTTAATAAAATAATGCTGTCAAATTATGAACTCAAAGTTTGCATTAGCACTATTTAAAAAAAAAACCAATCAAAAAACAAACTTTTCATTTCATTAAGATATTCAGAGGGATGTATACTGGCTTTTTTTCTTAATTGAAAAAGCTAATACCATGCCCAAAAAAGAGCACTCCATGCTATTTTCTTTACCACCCTCAAATAAAACCTAATAATTTATTAAATGACCATAAAATAAAATTATTCTATCATTCTTCTGTCATAAACAATATGAACAATTATTGGGGGATTTATTTATGAATTAGTTTTTAATTTATAAACAAGTTATTAAAAGAGTACATTTATTTAAAAAATAAACATATAAAAATATCGGGAATTGTTACTTATTTCTTATTTGTGTTGTTTGTGTTTACCTGGCCGATTAATAAAAAGCAATACAATTGTATAAAATGGTGTCAACACCTGAGGTTTCAGTCGCCTTTGGGCATTATTAGCAGAAAGGCAATGCATTTTATTCGGGTATCAGTGTCACACATCACTGAACACGCTGGTCAACGATGACACTAATTTCAATCTATGTACTGCAAAAAAATCTTTGTTTCAATAACTGTGTATAAATTTATTTCGGGATTAATTAATTTTGAACATAATCTGAGGGTTCCATTCGCTTGATTTACAGATGTATACTCGACCATTAATATTATAAAACACTTAAAACCGAGAATCTAACGATAATTAAATTGGCAAGTCATTGAAAATAATCATGACTGAAATCTAATACTCGGCAATATTTAACAAAGAATTTTTCAAAAGCTCCAATACTTCAGAAAAATGCATTCAGGGTATAGCATGTGTTAAAGCTAATTCTGGTAGAAAATAAACAATTCAAGTTTAATTTTCCATATAAAAAAAATAAATATGAAACCAAATATCAATCACAGAAAATAAAAAAAATTGATTTATTTAGGTGAAAAATTAATAAACCAAATAATTGTGTTTAAATATTAATGTTTTTAATAGGTGTGAGCATCTTCTTTGTTCAATAATCATTATTTGATTCTATACGCGTACTGTTACAGAAATGAGTTCAGAAATGACTGTCGCGTAAGAATTGAAAATATTTGTTGATATACTCAGAAAGAATTGCTCATCAATTTCAACTGCCTTTTATAATTATACTGTTTATTGATAATCTCATTCGGAGTAAGCTTCGCCCATTAGATTAATTAACCCCGTCCACTGGGACTGCTTTCTGGGACCGCTGTGGGACTGCTCTGGGACCGCTCTGGGACTGCTTTAGCAGTCCCAGAAAGCAGTCCCCGGGACTGCTCTGGGACTGCTTTGTGTCAGGTTGAGTCTGGTTGGTACTGTACTTTAAGTAGAATTGGTATTCATACAAATGTAAAAGCTTTATTTGCTTACAATAGTATAGGCGAGGTTCAGATTTGTTACATCAAAAAGTAAGAAAGAAAAAAGATCAGCAAACAGTCATAAAATTAAGGTGCAACAATAAAATTTTACACTGCTACAATGTAAACTTAAAATCTCCTGATTTTCCGATAGTTCTGTGATTATCTCTTTCACTCCCGTACATACACTCTACGTTACTATACGCATAAAGTACAGTATAACACTGCATATCACAGTACAGAAGCAGTACAGAGGCAAAGTTTCTTTTAAAGAATATCAATGATTATCTTGCAAAGAAATATTCCTGAAATCGTTTTACCTTGTAAACACGTTTGTTCCAGTGGGTTGCAACTAGAATGATAATAACATCACTGTCTTTGTCGTTATATAAATGTCCATGACAATACGTGTGGATGGATTTCATCCAAAATAGAAAGTAATCTGTATACAGAAAAAAAAATGTTTATGTGTTTTTAAATCACACCAGCAGATAAGCCTGGCAATATTTACAGAAAACCACTCAGTAAATATTTTATGCAATTATTGCAAACGCAATTCATAACGGACTTTATAGATAAATTTAATTAATATAATTAATGCTTTAATCTATATCAAATGACAGAGAGTGTTAATCTCATATCAATATTTAAGGATAAAATATGACGTTGTTTAAAAACATAGGTAGCGTTTCGCAAGTACGCGTAGTCAAAAAAATCTTGATTAACAGTTAAAGTTTATTTACAAATCGTCGCAAAGGAATGTTTCTCTTTCGTTTGAGTCAGATTTAAAGCACGTTGACCATCACAGTAGCTCGTCGGTAAAGATCCCTCTCCGTGATCGGAAAATTGTTGTTTTGGATTCGTGCCCGGCCGCGACTGACATAAGTAAGAAGATAAAAATATAGCTAGTAACTGTTCCTTTCCCAAGCGTTCGGTACTTTGAAGTGAAAGTTGTGCGTCTTTCGGATGAGACCTAAAAAACCAGGCTCTGTGTCAACGTAGGCGTTGACACAATAAATACCTCTCATTACTCAATGGCCTTGAGTGCCGAGCAAGGGTTAAAATGTGTAGCTCTTCACCTATATATGGTGACATCTCTATACGAATGAAAGACAATTAATCGATGACTAATCAAGTTAGTCTCTTGTTGGCATGTTGACATTTCTTTCTTCGGCCCATGGGCCACAACGCTCAACTTAGTTATCTTGGCCATGCTGTTCTTCAGAAAATATACTTTTTACATCCCTTGCCCCCTCAAAAATAAAATAATCGAATTCAAGATTTTTACTCCTCATTGCATGTGTCGCCCCATTCTAGTTGCCATGCAGGTGTTATCTTTTAGCTGTACTTGAATCCACACAAAATTAAGATGTTTCAATTTTAATATGACAAATATGGCCTTGCAGTTCTGGAGAAAAAATCATATTAATATTAGTAATAAAAACATCGATCTTCAAAAAAATAAAAACCGGCATTAAGCATAACATGTATGTACAATGTTTTTTAATGCACCCTATATTTTTACCAAATTCTTTTTTCAAATCGGACTTTGGAAGTAGGAGTAGTAATTTGAAAGAATATTAGAGCTTCTTTTTTTAAAGATTTAGTAATAAATAAAACGCCATCGATTTAAATTGAAAATGTACAGAATTACGTACATGCAGTGCTGTAATCTTCTAGTATTCAACGATTATTTGAAATCAGACCAAATGTGTAGGATAAGTAAGAAAGACACACAGAGACTAACATAGAGATGGACAATAGGTAATATGATATTAATTCTTTCCTCGAAAATTAAAGCTAAAATTTTGTGCAAATTTAATGTTCATGAATTTTGCAGAGAATTGGTATTGTTCAAGATATTAAGAAACAATTTAGATATAAATTAACAGGCCCTTTGATCCGAATTATAGACAGAGAGAAAAGGATACATTTTATTTCTTTGCAAACAATACGTGCCTGTTGTGATCGGATCGAAGAATTCGCTTTAATTCAAATAAATATTTTGAAAAACAGAATGAAGTATTTTATCATTTTAGACGAAATGAAATGAAATGAGAAAAAAAAAATACAAAATCTTAAAAAGGTATTGTCTATTCTAGGTCATTTTATATCGAATTTAACTTAATAATATTCAATGAAAAGGCCCGTGGTTAACTTTTATCTGTCAAGAAAATAAAGGGATTGCATATAAGATAGAACCATTCAAACGAACTCCCCTCTTACGTCTTACTCAGCACGAGCATTTATCAGAAACATATATTTTTCAGATTCAATTTGATCAAAAAAAGTGTGTGAATCATGATAATTTAACGTATGAAATACCCTTGTATGTCCAGTTTGCAAAAACAGTATCATCTTGATCACACACTTTCTTATCCACCTTCTGGTCAAGACGTTTAGAAGCGTCCACCACCACAACATAGAAAGCTCTCCTGGTCAGGTAAATCTGGTGACAGGCATAGTACGCACATTGTCCTCCAAAATCAAAGAAACTCAATGTTTTCTGTGCACCAGTGTCTGGCTTTGCTTCATCTCTGTCTTTATTAGATTTCCTTACACTTTCCTTAACTAAAACTAATGAATTTAAAAAGGTTAGTTTCAAGGGATGCGTTAGGAAGCATGAATTAAGGCACCAAAAAAGAAATAAAAAGAAATTCTAAGGCCTAAAAAAAAAATTTTGTGTTTCGGGTAACCCGACCTAACCTATAAAAATGCGCCGATCCTAACATTTTTTTTTTCGATGTCCGTATTTATCCGATTAAAATACCTATTATTTCTATGTAAAATCCGTTTTTATCAGAATATTTTTTTCTCGTTCCTAAAAATTAAGAAACGTCTTTAAAACGCTTAGGCTTTCTGTGAACATTAACGATATTTAAATCAACATGCAAGCGTTTTCATGACGGGTCTGACAGCATGGAATGGGAAATCTTTTCGATAATTTTGACACCGATATTTCTATAATTTAAAAGTTTTGTGACATAGCTGAAATGGTATTGGCTTGATTACGTGTTCGACCCGCGTGATTTCGTACCTGAGTTGCGTATGTATAAGCCAACGTGTATATAAACGCACAGGTGAACGTATGAACCAACGTACACGTGTGTTCAAACACACAGGTGTGTAGGAAGCATCCTGGTGTACGGTAGCTGTCAGTAGAGAGTAAATGGCTTAATAGATGTACGTGTCAATTAGATTGATTCTGTCATACAAACAGCACGAATAATGAATAAGTACTTTAAATATTTTCTATCCAAGTATCTTTCAAAGATATTTTTTCTTAAAATCACAGATTTTGATGAATTTGTGTTAGAATATTTTAAATGTTTTTTTTTTCATAAAGCAAAGCCTGTTTGAATGTTTTGGAAAGAAGTAAACAATAACTAGATAATTAACATTAACACAATTATAGCCTTCTTTGAATATCGAAAACCTTCACTGGTAAAAAATATCATTGCTTCAGAATTACAATAATGAATTGTATAAATAAAGATGATATTGTTCTGAATTCAAACTGCATACGAAATGTACGAGGGTTGTCCGGTAAAATCGTGGACAAAGCGTTTTTATCGAAAAATAATGGGCGCACCAAGCTGAAATTTTCAGCAAATGTTGATTTATCATATTTAAGTGCATGTTAATTTTTTTGATAAAATATAAACAAAAAAAAAGATTTTATTATGCTTGAATGTGCACAAGGTACTATCCTACGGCGCATGATAAAAAACTAGGGTTTCATTAGAGAATACACGGGTAATATTTCGAAATAAAAGTATTGAATAGTTAAGATTGGGGTTAAAATTATCCTATTTTTTAATCATTATCTATTATATCGACTTTTAGAAAATTTCAAGGCATTTGCATAATTTTTGGCAAATTCCCAAGCATTTGAAATGGGAAAGTTGTAAACAAAACACACACAAAAAAGCGACGTTTGATGACGTTTCGCCGCACCGGAGAGCAGTTAAGTTTGATTTAGATGTACAAATGACACCCTTAGAGACTTTAAATTACTCCTGAAGAAGAAAAATATATGAATATCACTAGATTTTTAGTATACAAGTGAAATGGGAGTTTTCTAAGCGAAATATTTTTGATCGAGACCCCGGGTAGAACAAAACATACGGACAAATGGCTACTGGCAATAGCGAAAGACGCTGTCACTTTAGACCGTCGATATAAGATAGCCTACTCAGTTGAGTGATTACTGTCCATAACTTACTAATAAAATTTCAGAGGATTCCATGTGTGTGCGAGATTGTTTCCTCGACTGTTTATGGGGGAATAAAGGGAAACTCAAGTATGTGCATCAATGAAATTCCCGAACTTTAAGTGAAACTTATCCAACTTTTTTTTTAGCAATGAGGAAACGTGACGCTGCTTTAGACACTTTGACGTTATCATCCGTGCGCCGTAAGGCGATACCACACATAAAATAAAATCTCATAATTTGTTTATTTATCCATATATCTATTTGAAATTTGCTATGTATATTGATAAAAAATGTACTAAAGAGTAGTGAAAATGTTAGAACGTAGTGATGATTATTTTTCATTCTAGACAACTTGTCCACAATTTTTCAGGACAATCCTCGTAAATATAATATTTTTTACCAAGTTTCAGACTATTATGATTATATATGTTACAAATCTTGCATTTTCACGAGTATCTTACTTGTGGTATTGTACATCTTTCATTTGTACCTTCATGATATATATGATTAATATTCTTTCATATTACAATATACTTTAATATCATTTAAATATAATCATACTGAAATAATTGTATATGCCCCCTGAGGGCCCTTGATTGGTGAATAAACATATAGATATATATATAATAATTAAAACCATCCTAATCAGTTAATGATTAAGAATATGTGATTTGTGTAAAATGAAAGTTTTCTCTTGCAGAAGAGATTTGAAAAGAATTTTGAATTATCCATTAACCATCATCGTTTCGATTCAGAATGAAACCACTGGATCGTACCCACAACTTGACAAGGGTCAAACTCATATTTGGAACTTAACCACTCGCATTTACTGAAATGAAGAGAAAATGGGAAAAAAATAAAATGATATGAAACTCTTTAAAATTTGGTTGTCTGATGTTTTTCAAACATGTTGGAGTTAAATATAATATAAAATTATATTCTCATTATTTTCTATTAACATTTAAGTGGTCATAGATAAAAAAAATTCCAAAAAAAAAAAAAAAAAAAATTCCCTACCTACCTACCCTAATTTTTTCATCAGTGTTATCTGAAACACACAATTTTTTTTAGGCCTAAATAGTCTACTAAGATTTTTTTGTACAAATGCAAGAAGAGACCAATAATTCAAGAGGCCAACCTCAAAATCTTTCAGACAGCTGAAAAATATTGCATAAGACTTCGGGTATTTTTCGCTCTGTGTTATTTTCGCCATTCTCAATTGCAAACAATTTTGCTCCCTTTTAAAAATCGCCCAGTCACAGATCTGTTTAAGAAAATTTACTGTGTTCTTTGAATTCGTCCGTTTAAAATTCGACTACCTATTAGTAAGGCGAAAGGGGCGAAAATACGCGGGGACGAATATTTCGCTGTATACATTATAAAAAATGCCGAAAACTCTGGACAACAAATTAAAGACCATAAAATTATGTATTGTATTTACAGGCGTTTAGGAATATATAATTTAAGTAAATGTGATTACCATAACATATATTTAACACTAGCCCTAGCAATTCATAGATTGAATAAAGTGGGTGCTTTAGATAACGAAATGGCGGAATATAGGCCAATGAAATGATAAATAATTATGATAGATTTATATATTTTTTTCAATACTTAGCCAAATACTTTGTTGTAGATGAATGTAAAATGGACATATGTTTGCTTGAACATGGTTTGTTTTATCTAAAAATGCACCTAAAAATATAGCTGTTCGAATCAAATGATACAAAAATAACCTCTTTTAAAGCTGTTTTTCATTAACGTGTTTTGTCTGGGTCTTCTCTCTACGATTATGAAATGTGTTATCCAGGTGTATTTTACCGTAAAATTTACTGCTTTTTTTTAAATGGAGAGTTGACTAAGAAATACCAAAATATAAACTTTTTTTTAGTTTCATAGAGAAATTAAAGTCCAAATGTATAGCATTTTGGCTTTTAATAATGATGTAAATTCTTACACATATAGTTTCTCAGGTTGCTAAGTGTGTTTAATGCTGAATTTGAGTTAGACCTAACAAGCATTTTTGATATGTAGAAACAGTTTCTAAGTAAAACGAGGCAAGCTACATGTAATGACAAACAAAGATATAAACAGTCTCGTTTAAAGTCATCATTTCGCAAGTTTGGTGGATAAAATGACCTTTTCAGCAAATACGACCTATCATTAAATCAAATGCAACTGACTGAGGTTTTTTAAAGAAATTGTTAGACCATTATTTACACACTGTATTGTCTGCGAATTTTTCCTTTTTTCCCGATTAAGACAAGGATCACACGGTGGGTTTTACAAAGCGGCAGGGGATGTTCACTCCTACGTGACACCTAATCCAACCCATGATGTTTTTGGAGGTCCGTATGCCCTTCGCTCCAGATTTGTATTGTTTAAATGGACTTTGATCTTGAATAATGTTATCCATATATCACTTATCTCCATACATTTTGTATTTCATACGAATGCAGTGAAGTTTTTTTTTTTTTTTTTTTTTTTTTTTTTTTTGGGAAAGTACATGTATATATTTAATTCGGAAATAAATATTTACTTTTTGGATTAAGTTACAAGATAAATATCATAAATTTTTTAAACATTGCTTGATCTTTCAGAGTTCACACTCTGTCATTTATAGTGCTAATATTGGCTGCCAACTAGAAATAAACATACATGTACTTGTTACTACAATGGTACGCCTGAAGGAAATTAAAATTATTAAATATGTTTCAAAAACTAGCATTTTCATTCCCTTTCATTCAATTTTTTAGTACATTTGAACATTAAACATTTAATTATTCTGTGATAGCTTTCTGTTTTATTTTATCAGATGCAGCATAGATGTATCTTTTATGAGTCTTTTAATGAAAACAATTAAAATCAAATATAAACAAACATTAATCTAAAAATCCATTCTAATGAAGTATCTAGGTTCGAAAAATGGCGAGTAATTTTGATGGGTCCCCCCCCCCCCATCCCTGGGGATTTATAGATAGCAAGCTTATGTTGGTCCTATGTTTGCCCATAGTTGTAAGATCGGCTACAGATCGCAGTTCGCAAAATGGCAGTACATTCAAGTGATCGTTGTTCAACTTGTTGACATCAAGTAGACTGTACCAATGCCGGATTGACTTGCTTTTATCTACAAATGTTATATTATAAAATAACAAAATTATCTATTAATTCGGATTTTGCATTAATTTTCAAGAAAAATGCGGCAGATATATATTCTCTAAAACGCTGATAAAAATTTATACTTATAATCTTTGATAAATTTTATACCCCAAAATATATTTAAATGCGTCATATATATATATATATATATATATATATATATATATATATATATATATATATATATATATATATATGAAACATTTTTGAACATTTAATTTACAATTCATCTGCAGGTATGGTAAAATTTTTCATTTTCCTATTCACAGCAAATACATCCAAGTACAAATGACTGCTTTTGTCAGTCACTGGACATTTCTCTATCCAGTAATCGGAGATGCAAGCCTTTGGGCATATGGTTTAGGTCTGGTTACCTCTCTGTTTGTTTGTCTGCAAAAACCTTGAAATTTACCTTAATTGTCGAAGAATTGCAATTGGTGCTAGGGCAACATATTTCAAGCTTATTTCTTGTGCCAGTTAGGACCTTTCCGTCTTAAATTCTGCAAGGTCTTTCATATCTGACTTGCATATTGCTTGTGACAAAACTTTAAAATTTTTAGTAGACCCGTTATTTACAAAAAGAAAACAAAACATTTTTCATTCAAGAAAAAACATTCTATTGTTTCCACACTGAATTGTCGACGGATTTTTCTGTTATTTCCCGATCATGACAAGGAGCACACAGCGGGTGTGACCGGTCGGCAGGGGATGCTCACTCCTCAATGGCACCTGATCCCACCTCTAATGTTTGGAGGTCCGTGTTTGCTCTGCTCCTATTTTGTATTGTTTAATGGACTTTTGAGCTTGAATACTGTTCGTTATCTCCATATTTCATTCACCTTATTGCATAGAGTCCCTTACCTCCACCCACCCCCACCCCCTAAAAACCTATAAATCAACTCAAATATAAAGAAAAAATAAAGAATATCAAGTATTGCCTCCTTTGCTTGTAACGATATGATAACCTATTCAAAATATAACAAGAATAAAAATGCACTTGGGTAGAAATAGTATTCTTACTGATGTATTCAATTGTAGCCTATTTAGTAGATATAAATTACACTGTAATAAACTTAAATTAAATAGATAATTTCAATCAATCTACCTTTTAGTGTTCGTTTCTTTTCACAGATTTCAGACACTTCCTCGTGGACCTCTAATCCTTCCGTTGACTTTAATTTCTTTAGTTCTTTCTTACTGCGCTTGAGTAGACGATTCAGTAGCGTGGTCTTCCCGGCCCCAGCACATCCTACAATCATTCCCCTGGCGTGATGGACAACCTGTACTCCCCCTCTCTCGGCGTACTGAACGTACCGTTCTCTGGCTTTCTGGTCCCATTTCAATATTTCTTTGGGAACTTTTACTGTCCAAATCAAAATTTAAAACAAATTAAGTGAAAATAAAATGTAAACATCAAAGATACATACAACAAACAAATTTTCTCATCTTCCACACAAAAAAGTTACACCAGTATGGTATTTTTCAATATTTCTTTCAATAGAAATGTAATTAAGAAATTTTATTTGTCGAAAACGTAAAAATATACCATTGAAAATATCCTTTGAAACTCGGCTGTAAGAAAACTTCATGCATTTTTAAAACTTTTCAAAACTATATTGAACTGTAAAGTTTTAACCAAATAAAGTGATTTGGCCAAACAAAAAGCTGTTTAACTCACATGCTTTTGGGGCTTAATCCCCCCATTCCTTTTTTTTCATTTCTAAATATGGGGTCGACGAACCTTTTTCCTATTTTTGTACTCTAATATGCATTACCTGACATCGATAATGTAAACCTTTTGTGTCAATAAATCATTAAATAAAATATACGAAATATTTAAAAACAGCTTATTGAGACAAAAGGGTAACATTATCGATTTTAGGTAGTGCATACTAGAGTACAAAAATAATAAAAAGGTGCGTCGACCCCAGATTTTAAAAGGAAAATAAGTGGAAAGGGGGTCCAGTCCCCAAGTGCCCGTGGTTTTACTTAACAAAAATCAGTTCTCTAGTAAGAGAGGCACCTATCTTACGTAGGAAAGATATTTGAATTTAGGAAGAAAAAAATTTTCTTTGAGTTATTCATCCTTCAAGCAAGAATATGTAACATTTTTAAAATTAAAAATTAATGTTGTAAAATAATAAGATGAAAGGAAATGCTTTCATGCCTGGATTAAAAAGTAAGGATCACGGGTTATCTAGCGCATTCATTTCATATTTTTTTTCTCATCATGAAATAGATTATATCATTGTATTTTTAATTTTTTACTGTAATAATTCGGATTTGAATACAATACTACCTGATTTCTAAACTATGTTTAATACATTTAAGCATTTTGCATGTTTTTCAATCAATCAATAATATAAATATTAATGGTAGAGATATGAAAAATACTTACAACGTTTACTGATCCTGTCTTGAATCCTCCATTCAGACACGGTACAGTGTGTGATGATGTCCAGCTGTAGTTTGTCTATGAAGAGGTCGTACATCTTTTCCGGCTCCATTGGTATATACAGACATCTCTCTCCCTCACTCCTCATATACTCCCAGGACCTGCAGTATTCTGATATCACGTCACATGAAGCCGTGGTCAGGAAAAACTCTAGATCACTGTCCTCCACTAGACACTCCGTAACAAAGGCGTACATAACGTCATGGCGGACAATATCTGATACAAACGAAACCTCACCATTCTGTATTTCTATGATTACATGCTTAAGATGTTTTATGTCAACATCATCAGACGGAGAAAGTTTTTGAAAATACTTGTCTCGTATCTTTATCATTATTGACCTGAACGCCTCTCCATTTACAATCCCCGTGTACTTGTCACACAACAGTAAACTGTAAAGAAGACTTCTGACCTCTTCTGAATATTTATGATATGTACCTAAATTGAATTAAATCAAAAAGTTAAAGAGTTATGTAATGAAATAAAGGACCCGTGTATTAAAAATAGCTTTAACAAAATATAAATTCTACCAGATTTTTTAACAAAAAAATGATTTTTAATGAACTAAAACCTTGACTATATATTACTTTGTTCGTCCAGGAATGAATAAAAAATGCACACTTCATGAAGGCCCTGCTGTTAAGCAAGTACATACTCATTTTTAGTCCCCTACCGGTGAAACCAGAGGGGACTATAGGTTTACTCTGCGTCTGTCCGTCCGTCGGTCTAGCTGTCCGTCCGTCTATCCCTCTGTTTGTTTGCCCCACTTGGCTTACCGCACTTTTTTCTTTATGCTTTTGAGAATTGATTTGAAACTTGCTGGATACTTTTATAATGAGAAACTACAGATCAAGTTTGAATTTTGTCATGTTTGACCAACAGGTGCTAAAGTAAATCAGTTTTAAACATTCCTCTTTTTTATAATCGGGTTCACGATCGGGTTGGTGCTGCACTTAATTAATATAATTCTAAACGAGGTTGTCATGTTAAATTAATGCTCCATGCAAAAACGAGGTTTTCATGTTGCAGATTTTGACAGATGATAAGACGTTAAGTAACATTGTGCATTGTTTTCAACCATTTCTACCAGCGAATACTTAATATACTTGGCGAAATAACACCAGTTGCAATAAAAAATGAGTATTTTTTCCTAATTTGAATTGGTTTTTTTTTTTTTACCGATAGTCACGTTATTCTAGCTGCAGCAATGTAACCCTTCTCTCTCTCTCTCTCTCTTTAAAAGGGGATCTCCGTGATGGTGCAAGAATGGGAGTGATTCACTCCCGCACAGTTTTCAACTCAAATTATCAGTAAATGGCTTTTTTATTGACATTTTACTGTGGAATCATCAATGTTCGTGGGGGATCAATGTTCGTGGATTTCATGGGTCACCCTTGCCCACGAATTTAAATCCCCACGAACATTTTTTTTTGTCAACGAACTGATTAATTAAATCTACCAACTAAACTAGCTGCCCACGAAATTAGATCCCCAAGAACCAATACAATTTTGCTTGCCCATGAACATTGTCCCCCACGAATCTAAATGATGCCACAGTACCTGAACTCCAAAAATATAGTTATGCAAGACATAAATCGGTCCAAAAATATACAGTACAATCAATATATTGGTTATTTTTCATGTATGTCAACATCACAACTTGAATTATCCGCCATGTTTACTGACCTTGATCGATTTTATTTTGGGACAGCCAATGAGAATTCGGGATCTAGGGAGTGGATCTTTTTTTAGAAATTCCCTTATATTTTAAGCATAAATATCTCTGTTTACGAAAAAAGATCACATGAAATGGTTTTATTAATCAATGTTAAGTGATACCATACAATGCAAACATTTATCTTATTAGAAATAAGTTGAATGTTAAAACAATTTATTTTGCCTGCATTCGCCCGTATTTAAAAATTATATTTGCACCATTACGGAGATGCTGTGGAATTGTAGCCCTCTCAAGAAAATATCAGATTAAAAAAGTCGTAGATGGCTACATTATTGTATTAGTGTTATTAATACATAATGTGATTTTATTGTCAAAGGGTTCGAAAACACCCCAATCCATCGTGCGTTCACTGTTACAGAAAGTCGTTTATTTTCTATTCTACTGTTTTCAACAGATGTTTTCAATGGTATCTGGTCACTTCATACCTTGTTCAATTTTGACCATTGTATAAAAGCCCCACAACTATAATTGTGATATTTTGTCAACAATTCAAAAGAATTTATGAAATTGTTTTTTTTAATCATGTGAGATAAGCTGGTCAAAGCATGCATGAATGTCTAATGGCAGTCAAACACGTCTTTTTAAGGCAGACTTCATTCCAAAACATTTCATTCATTCATAATAATCGAAATGTTCACAATATGGGGTGGCCATTTTCATACAGGGTCTTATAAAATTACATCCTAAAAAGAAAAGGGGATACGGGTAGGGGACATGTATTGCTTATGCGATACTCTCAGAATTGTAACAAATCAGAGAAAATGCGTACGAAATTTACATGCATTGAAATATACCGGTTCGAAATGTATGTAATTTTACGGAAACGCAGATCCAGTAGTACCCCTGGCAGATATAACTTTCTAAAAAGCTTTTTAAAGCGTGAGGGAGATAACTCTTCCGATTTCAATTGAACGTTTAATTTGACGTTAAATTTGACGTTAATTATAAAGCGTCAAAATGACAAGCGATACGATCTCGATGTATCTAAAAAAATCGGAATAAAGGCTTTGATTGTTTAATGAAAATATAATTCTATCATTGATCATTTGCGCATTTGCAGTTAACCCCTTCCCCTCCATAAAAAGAAAAAAAAGACAGATTATCCCTTAAATTTCTTAAATTTAAATTTAGTTTATTAATTTTTTTTTTAATTGTAATTGTGATTATATGAAGCATTTATAAAATATTCAAAAATAGCAAAAATTAAACGACAGAAAATGTTTGAGGTGGGTGTTTAGTACATCCTTAAGAACAAAAAAGTCCATTGTAATTGTCTCTTTAATAATCTACTGAGTTTATCAAATATGAAATTAATGAAAATCTGTTCGTTCCTTTTCCCAAAATGATTGCATTATAAAGCAGACAGACAATTGTGGAGCGGAATTCCAGAGATGCCTTCAATTTAAATTAACTGCGGAAATAAATTTGCTTATTTATATACATAAATACTTGTAAAACTTGATTGTCCATCCCCCCCCCCCCCCTCTTTCCCCGACGAAATGCAAAGATACAAACGTCAAGAAAATCTCAGTATAAGGATCCAGAATGTTGTAAAAGTTTTGCTATCAGAATTAACGAAATTAGGTGTAATCTTATTACTTGGTCGCAGATTAGTCTTCCTTGACAGAGTTACGTCCTTGTAAGACCAGAAATTATGTCACGTGAAAATCTGCTTGATTATTTTTCTTATTTTGACAAAACTAATTTTTTTAGAGAGAGAAGAAAATGATTGTCGAAGCTTGATTTAAATCATGAAATGGACATAAAGCCTTACCAAGTTTCCAAGGTTTTTTTTGTTTTTGTTTTGTCTTGTTTGTTTGTTTGTTTGTTTTGTTTTGTTTTTTTTTTTTGGTTTGTTTGTTTTTTGTTTTTGTTTTTGTTTTTTGTTTTTTTTTGTTTAGCATCAGCGGGCGACTTGGGTTTTAACACCCCAGATCAAAACAGAAATCCTGAAATTTAATCTTTGATAGAAATCTTTGAATTTCATCAATTTCTTTTTATTCTTGTCTACAATCTGTCATAGAAGAAATATATGAAGCATTTAATATCTTGCTTTTTCTAAGGTATACATCTTTCTATGAGAAAAATAAAGTAAAATCCTTTGAATATCGTCATTTTTCTGACTATATAGTCTGTGTATTAATTGTTTGCTTGTGTGGATTTTAAAAGATGGTAAGATTTTAAAAGATGATTGGACGCTTAACAGAGAAAAAAATTGGAAAACATTTGAAGAATTTGATTTAGCAATAGCTTTCTGTATTCCGACCATAGGAATCCATAGGAATAAATTCAATCAATTGATCCAAAGTACTGCAAAAATTAATATTCAATACGCAAACTTTCATGATGGTTTCTACCATTTAACAGTCATTAAATCTTAAAACGACTTGACACGTGGACAGGGACATCGAATATTGTCATTAATAATTTGCATAGGAAAACATAATTAATTAAAAATTTCCATACAACATACACCGTTACCAGACACCTCGTGGAAACATAACTCGTCAAATGCAACAAATCCTCGAAAGTCAGCTCTTGCTGATGGGACAAGTCAAAGAAAGACAACTCGTGGATGACATCGATATGGATTGAAAATTAAAATTAAAAAAAAAGTTTAACTTTTTCAAATAATTTGTTGTAGTTTATCATGTTATTTTTCATACTCAGTCAAGTCAAGGCCGAGAAAGGCATTGGTTTCATCTTTATTCCGACTCAAAGAATAAAAACAAATCAGCATATAACTTAATCGCCCAAGCAATATAGAAATTTCTTAAAATTGAAGGATTGATTGATTGACTAATGTTTTACGCCGAATCGGCGCTTTTTCAGCCATATATCGACAGTAAAAAAGAAACATCATGTGGCCAGTTTAAACAAAAATATATGTTTTTCTTATTTTTTTCAATAAATCCTTTGTATCTGTCATATTTTGTCATATTTTTGCAGTACTCCATAAAAAAAAAACAGGAAAATTTCGTTAATTTTGGCATTTTGAAATGCCCCCTCTGGAAACCAGAAGGTAAAATTTTGTTTTTCTTACATACAGTGTATATTGTATAGTATAGTATTACTCATCACGTATAATTTGAGCAAAAGGCCTATTTTAGTATTTGTAAAATTTGCTCTGAAGTGTGAAAAATTGGCACTTTCCCATATAAACCAATAGTAAATGTACCTGTTTTTTGAGACGGTTCCTAAAAATACCTAGATTTTCCCTGCACTTGGCATGTACACTGAAGTCAATGTATGTTACATATGGTATAAAATTAAAGAGTTTTTCCATTATACTTTTTTAGCAATTGTTTTTGCTTCGCATGTCAGACTATTTAACCCTGTAAAAAATTCAAGAATTAGGAATTGTATATATTAAATGAGATGAACGAGAGATCATTTTTCTTTTCCAGTGGGCGTGCAAAATTTTCTTTTCCTCGGTCAAAATCGGGGCAAAATACCCCCCCCCCCCCCCTCGCTTCCTTAAAAAAACTAGACCTTAATCCTTGAAAATCAAATGGTCATGGCTTTTCTGTTGTCAGAACTTGATTTCCTGCTATCGTTTCTTATACATTACTTTACTTCCTAATTGGTACGCAAGACATTTGAAATAAATTGAGATGATAATAGGTCCCTTTGTTGATTAAACATTAAAAGGTTCCATACCTCTAATTGTGAATAAGAGGCCAATGGGCCACAACGCTCACCTGAGTAATTGTGGCCTTGCTGTTTTTCACTTGATTCCCCCCCCCCCTTTGTAGTATGTATTGTGGCCCCGCCCTACCCCCAAGGGCCATGATTTGAACAATTTAGAATCTACACTACCCCAGGATGCTTCCAAATAAGTTTCAGCTTTTCTGCCCCAGTGGTTCTTAAGAGGAAGATTTTTAAAGATATTTTCTGCATATTTCAATGTAAAATTTGGATTCCCTATTGTGGCCCCGCCCTACCCCCAAGGGTCATGATTTGAACAATTTAAAATCTACACTGCCCTAAAAATGTTTCCACATAAGTTTAAGCTTTTCTGGCCCAGTGGTTCTTGAGAAGAAGATTTTTAAAGATTTTTACCATATATTTCAATGTAAAACTTGGATTCCCTATTGTGGCCCCGCCCTGCCCCCGGGGGTCATGATTTGAAGAATTCATAATCTACACTACACCAGAATGCTTCCACATAAGTTTCAGCTTTTCTGGCCCAGTGGTTCTTGAGAGGAAGAATTTCAAAGATTTTTACTACATATTTCAATGTAAAACTTGGATTCCCTATTGTGGCCCCGCCCTGCCCCCGGGGGTCATGATTTGAACAATTTAGAATTTACACTACCCCAGAATGCTTCCACATAAGTTTCAGCTTTTTTTTCCTGTGGTTCTTGAGAAGAAGATTTTTTAATGACCCCCCAATTTTTGTATTTTCTTGATTATCTCCCCTTTGAAGGAGACTTGGCCCTTCATTTTAACAATTTAAACTCTCCTTCACCCAAGGATGCTTTGTACTAAGTTTGGTTAAAATTGGCCCCGTGGTTCTTGAGAAGAAGTTGAAAATGTGAAAAGATTACAGACAGACGGACGACGGACAACGGGTGATCAGAAAAGCTCACTTGAGCTTTCAGCTCAGGTGAGCTAAAAATCATTATATACATAAACTTACATTTAGTCGCCCGCGTGGCGCAGTGGTTAGGGCGTCTGCTCTAGAGTCGCGACGTAAGGAGTTGATCCTTATGTCGCGGGTTCGAATCCCACTGTGGGATGTGGAGACCTGTTATTCGGATGAGACCGTATAAACCGAGGTCCCGTGTCGCAGTAGGTGCTGGCACGAAAAAGATCCCTCACTGCTCAATAGCCGTAAGTGCCGAGTATAGGACAACATTTGCAGCTCTCCACCGGCAAATGGTGGCGTCTCCATATTGGTGAAAAATTCTCGAGAGGGACGTTATACAAACTTACATTTATATAAGTAAAACTTGTCCGTCATTTATCACTTGTGTTCGATCGCACATTGAGTCGTTGTCAATCACCAAAACGTTTGGCATGATTGTGTATAATGGAAATCGTACTTTGACGCTTTCTTCTGGATGAACAACTTAATGGTACACATGAACTTGCAATTAAACGTTTATTGGTTTAAAGGTCAAATTAACTTATTAGATTTACATTATTCACCCACACACACACACACAACATACATGAAGAACCTGGGTCCAAGCATATTTTTTTTTAATTTGTCTTCTTTCATAAATTATTCTTTTAGTACACATTCACAATGCAATCTATATGCATGACAATTAAAACAAGAGGCCAAAGGGCCTTAATGGTCACCTGTGTATAATGCAACATTGTAAAGGTTCTATAGAAGTATATAACTGGAGGTACTGTGAGCAAGATTACAAATACCCCGGTTCACAGCGCGTTTGCTCAGGGTCAGCTCTGGGTCCGCTGAAGCGAACCCGGCGTTCTCTTTCAAGCGTGAAGCAGACTCCGTTTCCCTCCTCCTCCCCCCCCCCCCCCCCCGCCTGTAAGCTCCGCCCCTTATATTATCCAAATATACAGTACAGTAGTTGAAAGCGTTCTTTCTAGCTCAGTTGCGATAGGAAGCACGTAAACCTGTAACTGAAAATTTAACCCTAGATGTATTTTCTGCATCTATTAGAATTATTACTAAGCGTGATTGGAGTCGGCAAGATAAAAATTTTGAAAGGACTTTTTTTTTCTTTATTTTACTTGAATATTTTTATTAACTGAGTGAAGAAGCCTTGTTAAAATAATTACGGGTCGGGGACATTAATGTTTACATTCAGGAATGTTTTATATATGTATTTCATTAAATGACAATAGATTGATGACAAGAATACAAAAATCAGGTGTATTTCAAAAAAAAAAAAAAAAGATACAGATACCCTTATATCTTTTTTTTTCGTTCTTTTTTCAATTACATGTAGTTATTGAATCGTATTATAATTTTTTAAAAAGCGGCAGCCCTATTGACAGGAAAGAGATTGAAATGATTTGATTTTTTGTTTGGTAGAGTTTTTGTTAGTTTTTTCAGGAAAAGGAAAATTAATGCATCTATATGTACATTGTAATAACACGCACTGAATTCTTTGTCATCGAACTTGTGTAAATCGTGCTTTATTTCTATCATTCCTCGAAGCCTAAAAAGAGGTAAAGGTCCCTTTCTCGATCGTCTAACGATTAATGATTTAAATTTATTCATCGTAATTTTAACGCTAGGAACTGATAAAAATGCAATTTATGATAATTTGTCTTGAGACATACTTTGTACAAATCGATTCATCATTAGCATGCACCCTCCCTCCCGACAAAAAAGGTTAAAGTAAATAGAATAGCAAGGGATATGATCACTGCTTTATTGGCAGCATGATATTTTAAAACAATTTTAAATTTTATATATTCAAAATTTCGTATCCATACCAGGTAATTTAAGGAGTTGGGATGGGGTATGGAAGGTGAAAATGAAAGGAAGTTATACTTAGGCACACCATGACCATGGTAACGGGATAGATCATTTAACGAAATGTCGGTTAAAAAGACAGAATCTTCACTGCTCTTTACACCCCTAAATTACTCCTCAGTAGGCGGATTTTACATGTAGATACATGATGGCCACAGCTTACATGTACCTATCAAACAATATATAAGTTTATAGTCTTAAGCAATTTAGAAAAAAAGATGCCAAGGCGTGGAAATTCAGAATTCCAAATTTAAACGACTTACGTATCAAGGAACAAAATATGTTGTCGTAATAAAGTTTAGAAAAAATACAATATTTTTGAAGAGGCAGCCTTGCTCCTAATACTTATATTCGGTTTGTTAGCTGAATACTCTGGATCATAGATTTAAAATTTTCGAAGAATAATGCAATTTCACTATACAATCAACAGACCCCCCCCCCTCCCAACAAACACCAGAACCTCAGACTTTGTGGCCACAAATTTTACAATTTTGGAAGAGGCATTCCTGCTCATCATAACCATGCATTTTTTTAAATCTGCTATACATACATGGGGAGAGAAGATTTAAAAGAATTTCTGCATATTCACTGTATGATCATTAGAGCCCAACCCTAACTCCAGAACCCCTTGCCCTGACCCTGAAATAAATTTCATAATTTTTATAAAGGCCTCAATGCTTATTACAATCATGCAAACAGTTTGACTGCTAAGCAAAGGAGATTTTTAAAGAAAGAACTAATTTTGATGGTTTTAGCCCCATCCCTAAGGCCCCAGGGGGACAAGGACCATGAAATTCACAGCATTTGTTCCCTTCATCAACTGATGCTATATGCCAAAATTAGTTGAAATTGGTTCAGCTGTTCAAGAAAAGAAGCTGAAAATGTTTAAAAGTTTACGACCGACGCACGTTGCCCGATGGACGCCGACGGACAAAAACATATAGCAATAGGTCTTTTAAGTGACCCAACTGACCTTAAACAACGGAACCCCCCCCCTCCCTTTTTCAGTGGTGACATAGGTAACATTCATCACGACTTTCAAATTTATAAATAAAGAATCTTGCGATTCCCAGAGCATCAACGCCTTCAGAGCAATTTCTTGGAAATAATTTTTGAACTGTTGACGTCATCATAAGTAATCAATGAATAACATTTACATGTAGTATAAATATCATTTCTGCTTGAACTTTCAATACCCCATGGCAATCTCGGCTATACATAATTAGCGTCTCTCAATTGGTGACCTAGATTCTCAATGGTTAAGAAATTCATAACATCATAACATATGCAATTTTAGATTGTTGTTAAAAATAATGAGATGACATAAGCCGCACCTCTTTACTGTAAGGAACGATGTAATTGGTTCCTTGCATCACTCGTTGATGTCTGAACCATTTTTATTCCATGTGTATTTCACGCGTGAATGAAAAGCTGTGTTAATTTCAGTATTGATGAGCTAATCTGGAAACCAATGAGAATCTAGGACACTATTTGAGAGACGCTAATTATGTATAGCCGAAATATCACGCCTTACTGAAAGTTCAAGCAGAAATGATATTTGTACATGTACTTAAAAGTGAAAATAGCAATGGAGATAAAACATTTACGTGAATGTCGGTGAAAATATTGTTTGATTCCGTTTGCATATAAAGCTTAACTAACTTTCTTGTTTATATATATATACATGTATATATATATATATATATATATATATATATATATATATATATATATATATATATATATATATATATATATATATATATATATATATTTATGACTTTGCTAAAATGTAAAGAATTCTCAAATCGCAGTATAACGTTTAATGTTTATAAATTACTTTTTAAGAAAATAAGATAAAAAAATCATTAAAAAAAATATGACAAATGCGACTATCCCGTTACAAAAAAATTGTCCAATTGCCATCCTTTAATATACCCGTTGCTAGTTCTCTCTCTTAATTCAGTCCTAGGTGTTCCTGATGTCTTATTCATTAATAACACCTATCCACACTTACTTGGTTTTCTGTAAGCTTTGTTGTCGATGATGTAAATGTCATTGTGTGAATGAAGGCCTATACAGGATCTCACTATGTCAGGCCTGGCGGCACTCCCGATCCACCTCAAGTGTTGTACACTGTCCTGTGATCTTCCTCTGTATTGTACAGCCTCCCCTGAATCTTTTAGGGTTTCTATAAACTGCTCTCGCTCACTTTGATTCCCTTTTATTTTGTTGTCAGGTGTGTTTACTATTTATCATGAATATCAAAAACACAGAACATGAAAAAAGATATTCCAGAGCACTTATTATATCTATTCACATCAGTGTTTTCCATTCTTTTTTTTATAAAGACCTACAATACGTCTTGCTATAAAAAAGCCTTTGTTTGAATCTGCCACCATTTATAAACTAAAAGAAGCACCTAATAAATCTCACATCATTGACACATAATAAATGCAGAAATTATTCAATAAACTGGGATACCTAAGACATAATGATAAAATTTTTACATTATATAAACTTACAGAACTGAACCAGTATCTCATACATCCTTGAGTCCTCTTTGGTGACGTGAGTCAGTATGTTCATCTGTAGACGGAGTATGAGCAATTGATAACATAAAGAATCCTTCCCAATGACACATTTTTCTCCATTTTTTCTGGTATAGCCATGTGATCTCAGATACCTAGTAGCTGTATCATAGCTTGTGATGTAGAAAGGCAGGCGATCTAATCTAACTATACAGCTATTTGATCTCGTACGTATTTTCACGGGGTTAAGTCCAACTCTATATGATATCTTATACATGGTCTCGTCCTTAGCGTCATCATTTATATCAATCTTTTCCTGATTTACCCAAAGGAAATCACGTGACTTCAGTCTGTCCAGAGTCTGCTGTGCGTCCTCACTTGTTACAGAATTCCCTTTACGGGACGCTATCCGTCGTATCTTATCAAGCATGTCCAGCCACTCTGTGTCGGTGAAGTCAGGAGGACCGGAGTCAGAACACAGAAAACAGAATAACACGAACACCTCGTCATCAGTCAGTGTCGTAAATTTGTCTTAAACAAAAAAAAAATCACTCAAATCAAAAAATGAATATAGCTTATATTGCATAAATATTTACTATCTGTATGCCCATCTCATAGAGTTAAGACTTAAATGCACCCATTTGTATAGCAATATTTAAGAATTTAAAGAGATTACACGAACACTATTTCTATGAGATACTTATGCATGTATATAAGTAGCATCATAGATTAATCCCTGTGCAGAAAATAACGGTAAAGAATTTTTTTAAAGATATAAAGCGATTCCTGGTTTAAAGAAAATGCTACACAAAAAACCTGAGTAAATCATAACTACTGAAAAATTATAAAATGTTAATTTTTGGTTATCTAAATAACATACTTATATAATGCTGGTTATCTAAATAACATACTTAAGTCAATGTTAATCGGGAAAAAAAAATTATATTAAATTGATTTAAGAAATCTTTAATTTTCATGTGCCCTTTTTAATGTAACCCCTTCCGAAAAAAAATTATTATGTCAATACATGTAATTTAAGGTAGCTAAGGACACCTGACCCCAAAAAAACCTCCCAATAGATTTTGCTGAAATTTTCACATGGTGCAAAGGAATGTGTAATGAACCTTTAGTGGAAATATGAACATGGCATTGAGGGTAAATTACGGAACCAGGGGGTAATGAGTTACCTCCGCTTTCCAGTCACTCCAAAAATCATAATACAACATATAAATTACCCATAAAAAATTTATTATGCAATATGCATTCAATATTTAAAATTATTTTTAAACAATTTTGATACTGTAAACTTATTCTAACAATGGATTGTCTGAACAGAGATAAATTAAGAGAATAGTGCTTATAAAACATTTTAAATTCAACAAATTTGACTATTTTCATGCACACAAATTTGACACTTTCTAAATTCTAAAAAAAAATTCTGTCCAATAGAATTTTTATTTTTTATCATTATATGAAAGATTTGTCCAATACCATTCTTCACTTAAAAAATCTTGGTCACATTCACAGGACGAAAGACCATCTTTAAGCAATCGCTTAATGGTGGCTTAATGGTAGCTTAATGGTGGCTTATAGAAGTTAATTCCTTTAAGCCACCATTGAGCCACCATTAAGCTGCAGCTTCTAGGTGCTTAATGTCCAAACTTCATTAAGCTACCATTAAGCCACCTTTAAGCTGCAGCTTAATGGTGGCTTAATGTCCAAACTTAATTAAACCACCTTAACGCATCCAGTATCAAGTCTTTAAACTAACTTGTTAAGTTTGAAGTTGTTTCAGAATCATTTACGCAAATATTTATTCAATTCATAATTTTTTTTCTATTTCTAACATTTATGTCAGTGCGTATAAACTCGGGAACTGAGAACAGCTTCACCAAATGCCTTAAAATTTTTGCTACCTAAAATCAGTTTGTTTTAATACTTGTTTAAAAATTATTTTTATCCATAAATACATAATATATATTAATTTTTTAAAAAATCACATATTTTTCTTTCGTGTTTGGAGAGCCACGTTCCGCTGCCGAATTCATAGGAAATATTGTAATTAGAGTCATTTTCTTCTGGAATATTTCTAAGTCTCTTATTTTTTCTTTGGGTAGAGAAATGTTTAAGATATAATATATATATATATATATATAGGTATAGATTATATTGCCGATCATTGAATTACTTCATGAATGATTTGAATTAATTCATGGTTAAGTGCCATTATTTTTTCCTTTAATTTCTTTTAAAATACTGCAGAAGTAAGAATTTATTTAAAATAATACAGAAGTAAGAATTTATTTAAAATAATGCAGAAATAAGAATTGATCAAAATATAGTCGGTCTTCAATGATTGTTATTTCAAAATCAATTTTCAGAAGAACAGCCGATCAGATTAAACAGGACATCCGACCAGATTTATACACATTGAGAAGCGGGGTAAAATAATCAGTGTACAGTATATCGACTTATTAGACAATAGACCTTAATTAGGTGTCCCCACCAGTCCCCGATAAATTAACAGGAAACTATACACGGGAACGTACAGTCACAGATTTTGATGATCTATAATTTTTACAAAACTTAAAATTTATGCAAGCATATAACAAATTAGAGATTATGATCGTACACAAAAAGACAATTATTTTGATACCCATAATCATATAAAAAGAATTAAAACTGAAGATGATATGTTACAAAAATATTTTATAACTTAATTGTTACGCAAAGATTGTCAAAAGTCGTAAATATCTGCAGCATATTTATAAGAACTATAATCTGTTTTTTTTTCCATCGTTCTCTTTCGATGATATATTTCTTTTTAATAACAAAATTTTGTTATATCTGTTGAATTTCAATCTTTTCATGCTTATAAATCTGCGAATAACAGAACGAGGAATTCAGTTACTTAAAATCAAAAAGTTGTTTCTTACCATCACACGGAACTCAGTCCACGTTAAGAAATATTAACGTAATATAGAACTTTATCAAAATTTCTTTTTTAAAATATATATAAATATAATTATTCGTGTTATTGATTAATAAATATAAACATCAGAACAGGTACCTGTAACCATGTTAAAAATAAAGATGTTATATTTCGTACTGACTTCAACAGCCTCGATAGCTCAGTGGTTAAGGTGTCATAACAGTATTTCACTTGAGGTTCACGTCAAATCATGGCTGACGCAAAATAATTCCTGAATCTTCCCTTCCGATTCGGGCATTTTAACACGAGACTGGAGCTGAATTTTTTTATGAGATGAAAAACAATATGTAAACTTCCTGTATTGACTAGATTCATTATAATTTAGGGCGTGCTGATTTTTCTATATACTGTATTTGAGTGGGGAGTGATTAGGTCCTGGACTTGATTTTCAAGCACCTACTCGACTTCCACCGAAACAAACTTGCGTGCCTTGCTGGATGCCTATGTATTTTTTGGTACTAAAATCTTTATAAAGAATTGTTTTACAAGATCTGAAAAGGAAACTTCTCAAAAGTTTGTTTTCAATTAATAACACCTACTCAAAGTTGCGCATTTTTGGTAAGAATATATAGCAAAATTTAATACTGTTGTGCAACCTTAAAGCGATCGCCCTCCAATCTAAAGGTCGTGGGATCGAATCCTGTTGGGCATATTTTTTTTTTCATTTTTTTTTTAATTTTCTTTCTTTTACATTATTTTCGCCGAATTAACAAATGTATAAACTCGACATTTATAATTTTTGTGAAGAAATCAATATAAAAATAATCTTTAACCCATAAAAGCACCTTTTTACGACTGCGTAATGGTGACTTAATGGTGGCTTAAAGGTGGTTTAATGGTAGCTTAATGGAGTTTGGACATTAAGCACCTATAAGTCTGGCTTTATGGTGACTTAATGATTGTCTAGAAGCTACCATTAAGCACCTATAAGCCACCATTAAGCTACCTTTAAGCATCCATTAAGGATTTTGAGATGGCTTAATGGTAACTTAATGGTGGTGTATTTATTACTTTAATGTAGCTTATAGGTGCTTAATGGTGACTTAAAGACAACCATTAAACCATCATTAAGGACCTATAAGCCACCATTAAGCCAAACTTAAAGGAAGTGTTTCATCTTGTGATTGAGGGCTAATAAAGGTACCAAATGGTCCACAACTAACCCCCCCCCCCCCTTTTGTTTTCCCGTCATGAAAATAAGAATAATGATTGAAGTGCTATTAAAAAAAATTGCAAAGTAAATTAGAAAAAAAACAATTGAAGAAATAAATCAGAAGTACAAAACAATTACTAATAAATGATTAATGAAAATATTTATATGACATTAGGAGAAATCATAGAGTAATGACATGATGAGTTACCTCCCCTCTTACCTCACTAAAAAACTCATAATTTATCCAATATTGAAATAATCCATAAAAAATTAATTGTTAGATATGTGCTTTATTTTTAAAATAATTCCTAAACAAAATTAAAATATGAATTTATATTTCAACAATAGATTACTTGAATGGAAATGTAATTTTAAAAAGAAAACACATACAAAACTCTTCAACCTTAACAATTTTCATTACTTTCATGCAAACAAATTCTATATTTTCTTATGTAAAATCTTTAAATTAATCTGCTCAAATAGATTTTTTTGATAATATTATTATGTGAAAAATTTGTCCAATACTGTTCCCCACTCAAAAATCTTGGCACAGGGCTAATTAACTACAGGTACCAAATGGTCCAAATCCAACCCCTCCCATTTTCCAGAATTGAAAATAAGAATCAAATTTGGTGTGCTTCTAAAAAAAAATGCAAAACAAGAATGAGACTCAATAAGATATTTAAAAGGTTCTACAAAAACCTTATTTTACATGTATGTATTCCACTTCAATAGAAGTAGGGATTGAATAAAAGTATTTCACTTCTCCCAATCAAACAAATATGACCATTATAATGAATTTAAAACACCCATATTATATGCATTTAATTTTTTGATTCATTGCTTTGTCAAAAAAACTCTAATTGCATGCATTAACATGTCAAATATATGCACCTTTGTTGGGAAAAAAACATCTTGGCCATGCATACTGAGACAAAAAAATACATTTGACATAGCACAATACACATAATTCTTTTGCATAGAATAAAAAGAATATCATTGAAAAAATATGATCAGCAATAAAAAGTAATTTCACTCAATCAAACATAGACAAGCAGGTAGAATACTAACATTAGTCTAAGGAAAATATATTGTAACAGGGACCTTGACCTGAGACATACATAAATCATATACAAAAATTAAAAACAAAATGACAACATAAGAACAGCCCATTATTGCACTTGACTTAAAACTTCATGCAGGACATTTTATATGTTAAATGAAAATGAAGAGTCTACATGAACATGATGAATATGTGGAGCAGCTGATTAACATGACACTCACTCACATAGTACATTATGCATAATAAAGAATAGTCTATTGTTGAGCGGCCTATTACTGAACCCAACATGACACTTGCACAGTAGATTATGCATAGTCTGCAGCAGCCTATTACCACATCTGACATACATGTAACACTCATATAGTACATCATATATGAAAAATTAAAAAAAAAAAGTCTACAAGTGGAGCAGTCTATTACCACACCAGCCATAATACTCACAGAGTAGACTATACATGAACAAGAGGCCCATCGGCCACATCACTCACCTGAGAACAATTGCTAGGCAAAAGCCCAAATCAGTTCAGTATTGAAAAGATTGGGGGGGGGGGGGGCTTGAATTTTAAACTACCTGATGATGCTTCCATGTCTATATAACAAATGGCTCTGTTTTACATGAGAAGGTTTTTTTTAAAAATTTGCCATATATTCCTTTGTAAAAGTTTGATCCCCCATTGTGGCTCCTCCCTATTCCAGTGGTCATCATTTGAACAAACTTGAATCGACACTACCTGAGGATGCTTCCATATAAATACATGTATGACTTATCATGGGTTTGCTATTCTTGAGAAGAAGATTTTTCCTATATGTTTCTATGCATAACTTTGATCCTCCATTGTGGCCCCGCCCTACCCCGGGAGTCATGTTTTGAACAAACTTGAATCTACACTACCTGAGGATGTTTCCACATGAGTTTCATCTTTCCTGGCCCTGTGGTTCTTGAAAAGAAGATTTTTTAAAGATGCTATTCATTTCACTAATTCTTAATTATCTCCCCTTGAAAGAGGACGTGGCCCTTCATTTGATAAACTTGATAAACTTGAACCCCCTTCACCCAAGGATACTTTGTGGCAAGTTTAGTTGAAATTGATCCTGTGGTTCTTGAAAAGAAGTCGAAAATGTGAAAAGTTTACAGACAGACAGACAGACGGACGCCGGACAAAATGTGATCAGAAAAGCTCACTTGAGCCTTCGGCTCAGGTGAGCTAATAAAAGTCTATATGTGGAGTGTCTGTTACCACTTCAGACGTAACACTCAAACAAGAGATAATATGAAATTGACAAGAAAAGTAGTATATATGTTAGTTCAGTTTCATCAAGTGGTTCTTGTCCTGCCTTTTTGGAAGAGATGGAAAGTCATTCTTTAGTAGAGCTGCAGTAGTTGAATCATTATCAGCATGAATGGCCTGGACCTCACATTCATATATCTTATACACCTTACTTGTTAAAATTATCTGAAATATAAAATTCAACATTATTATCTGGAGTTCACATCAAAATATATTCCCCAAAATGTCTATATCCTATATATAGAATTTCAGTGAACATGTATATATACATGTATAACTTGCAGAAGTTTACACCCCATAAATTGCCAATTTTCTACACTTATCAAATTTAGCATACAAAATTTCACTTTTATACTAACAGCAAGACCCCTTGGTCTGCTATCCAGCATCAAAACTACATTCCAACTGGTCCAGTTTAGCATTCTTCGTCTCTATCTATCCAACAAGATTCCTTGGCCTGGTTCCACAATAGAGGCCAACATGTGGTGTTAAAGGTACTGAGAAAATTTACTACATGGGATGGTCCCATACCAGAATGTACCATCAAGATGGCTGGAAAAAAAAATAGATCAAATAAATATATACAGGCATAAACAAAATTTAATTATGGTTGATTGGAAAATAAGTTTTTAACCGGAAAATCTTACACAGAAACTGGACTTATCAAGAGAAATGCACATGCTGCCTGACCAATATTCTAACTATACAGCAGTAGTGAAATAAAGGATTGAATTTTATCAGACCAGCAAACAACATGCAAACAGTTTCAATATGTACCACCTTGTCAAACTTTTTTCCAGTGAAGAAAAACAAATCTGTCCCCAATCACCTTGGAAATAAAAATAAAAAAATCTGTCCTTCACTGAAATGTTAATAAATAATCTGACACCCATAAAATCCCCCCTCCCCAAATCAAATAGCAGTTCCTTACATGCACTGAGTTTACTAAGGAGAAGTTTTATATTCATGCTGAATTACAATTCTGACAGAAGTTTGAAATGGAATGTACATCATGTTAATATTTATTTGACTTACCAAGAGCTACTTTTGAGTTGATATCAAAGGCCTCTCTATCGTATTCCTTTCCTGTGGAAAAGGTGTTGGTAAATCCACAAACAGTACAGTACCATACGTCCCCATCATTTAGGCCCAATGTATTGATACAATAAAGTACCGAGTCAACAACGTTTTTAAAGTTGTAAAAAAAAAAATGCAAATGAATGCCTTCATCTTGTGGCTGTAAGCATACAAACTGGACTGCCAAGTTCTTCAGCTCAACAACTCTTCGTCCTTCGTTCCATTTTGATATCATTATATGATCTACATCAGCCGTGTCGTCTGCTTGGAATAGGGCCATTAGGGGTGTAAGTCATTTGCGACATGTGTATGTATACGAATATTCCATTTCATAAAAAAGATTTATAATTGTTGTCCTGTTTGTTGACATGTTATATCTCTCATTCACTCTTATTAACTTGATCTACCTTTACTGCTGAGCTTTCCTGTAACTATTACCGTGAACTTTTCTCGGAGCACATTGTTTACAACTGCAGTCGGCCATATTGAAATAGGCGCATTTCCGG